AAGATAAATAAATTAATAAATATAAATTTAAAGTAAAATCCCTATATGGCTGGAAAGCGACTACTAGTATACTATAAAAATTATTAAAAATTTTAATAAATTTCAAATAAATACTTAATGTATCTTTTAAAGTTCATTTAAAATCTCAAATAAATATCTAATAAGTTTTTAAAAATCTCTTTAAATTTTCAAATAAATATAGTTGCTTATTTGATAGCTTTAATATCTTTCTACTGCAGAATTGAATAAAGTTAAAGTAGGTAATTTGGCAGCTTTATAATCTTTTCTACTGCTATTATTACTTGACAATATTATAGTTATAAGGTCATGTAAGATTATAATTATAGTTAATTAAATGAATAAATATATATTATATTATGAGTAAACTTCTGTATGAAAAGAATTAAATATATAAGGATATATCATATTATAAACTTATAATTCCATGTGGTATTGTAATTAAGGACAAATCTTGACCAAAATTTTAGAGGGGGTTGAAAAAAAATTTTTCTATCACAAATGAATATAATATCAAAAAAAAGGTTGGAGTATCCTTTGTACATTTAATAAAATTATTTATTGTCATTATAAAAAAAATTGTATGAAAAAGTATTTTACAATTTAAACTATTTCTAACTATAAAACATTAACCTTAGATAGAGAGAGCCTTCAATATTAAAAGCCTTTCTCTCACCTAAAAGTTATTATTTTATAATCTAAAATATTTCATGTTATGAAACAACAGATTTTATAACTATTAACCATAAGATAAAAATAATACTAAAAATTTGTTCTAAATTGATATTATTTTTTTATTTTAAGATTGAAAAATAATTTTATTTGTATCCCTTAAATTTAATTCTTCATCATATTTTAAGTTTACTTTTTATATGTAATTATATGCTTAAAAATGATAAATATGATGAGTTTTTTAGAGCTCAAGTCAGCTATACGTAAGCTTACTAACAATTAAAGAGATCAAACTAATTAAATAATTCTACAGAAAAAAAAAAAACTCAAAATATAAAATACAAAATAAAGCGAATCAAAGAAAGAGAAAATGTATCCCACTAAGAAATTAATCTAACGTCTAATATGCATAACAAAGAGAAACCATACTCTTTTGTAAGTCATTATTTCATGCTCCAAGAAAATTCAAAATTTCTCAGTTATACTGCAATTAAATATTAAATCACAATCTAAATGCAATCAATTCGAACACTAGAAAGTAATAATAATTGTTTTTTTTCAATAAAATAAATATAAAAATTATTAAATTATAATATGTCATTATATATATATATATTTTTTAATTCTTAGTGGGGTCATGGTTCCTCCTATCCCAATGCAATGATCTTCCGTTGATTGTAACTATAACATTTTTAATTTCTAATAACTTTAATTTCCATTGTAATTTTTTTTTTTTTTTTGGTACAGCAGTAGCCAAATTAGAGAAATAAAGACTATAGGCGAGGGAAGCTGGTCCCTAGCGAGTCCCCTAAGGGGATTGGCCTAAGGCCATACGGTAGTGACTCCATCAAACTAAAGCCTGGCGGGGAAGAGTGTCTAAGTGAAGCTTGGAAATCAGAAGCAACATTACCTTCACATAGGGTATGACATAAACGGTAAAACCTCAAATTCGGAAATCAACTTCTTAATGCCCAAG